CCGGGACCTATAGTTGACCCCCTCTTAGCTATAGCCGGTTATTCGCTCAAAGCCCTCTTGTCTGTCTCTATGCATAATAATCCATCACGTGTGCACATTATATTAGATGAAGCATCTCGGTTACGCTCGTAACGAGTTTTTGTCGACGTTGATTTAGATTCCATTCCTTTGCCTAGCACGGTAGACAATGCAACGAAAGTGCTCGCATTAAAATAATTTTACAATTACCGTGGTGGGGCCACGCGACAGTCTCTGTTCCACGAATGGACTCGTCCGGGTAAGTACCAAGACCTCAATGAAGACCGGCGTGAAGTAGAAGCGTTATATTTCTGCGTTTCCTGTGAGCGAGGTAGCCGGGGCCCAATTTATTAAAATGTGACAACGCATCTGCAACCCTGTGGGTGTTGTTAATGTTTACGGGCGGCTGTAAAGGTTAACGTGAATTCACCTGGTCGATCTCGCAGTCCAGATTACCTACTCTGGTGTGACAGATTGAATATCTACGTGATAAGACCTGATAAGGGCTCGGGTGTAGTGTCAGCGAACGTGAGTGGAATAAAAATCGCAGTCGAAGAACATAGAACGAAATTGCAAACTTGGTTCTGGTAGCCGAATTGATTCTTTTAATCCTGTTTCTTATTTACATGATGAAGTATTGGTTTGAAAAAGGGGAAGTCATGGCATCCTGTTTCTAGCGTCCTGTCTGGACGTATATTTTAAGTGACTAAGATGTGGAGGTTTCAATACTCATTACGACAGTAAATTCCTTTCTAATAATATTTCACTGTACATCAAGAGTTGAGTAGTTGTTTACTAAACCAATTCATATAAAAAAAAAACGATATGATCAAATCCATTAAAGTTGTTTATCAATATCGCGTAAATATTTCTCCGAATTCCGCATAGGAATTGTCAACAAGTTGTTTTTTTGATGGTGAAAATAGATAAGTGGATTCTTAAATAATAGAGGAGCAAAGAGTCAAGTGGGGAGGGAGATGGAACGGGTTATTTAATTAAGAGGGCACGGAGTCCCGCGGGAGCTCCCGCGTCAGTCGTCGACGGGACGGGCGCTAAGCGATACTCACTCTGAATTACGATTTTATTCCTAAACTCCTCCTTTTACGTATTCATTCCACCCTTATTTATATTCAAACTACTTAGTACATCATTTATATTGTACTCTTATTCTCTTTTGGTATGCTTATGAAAACTTATGGACGTATCTTTTCCGGGTTTCAATCTTCACTTGTAACATTTGTTACACTTTTATAAAGAGAGAAGAGACTCAAACGAGGTACTAGCTTGATGCTTAAAACATTTTGATGGTTGAATGAATTAATTAGTAATTTAGTTATGTTGTTCAACAAACTTAATTTTATTAAATCGAAACTTGTTGAACTGTAAACAGAGCGGTATCGCTTGCCAGTCTTGGATAAACTTGTATTGATGTTAATCTAATTAATGCCGATTCTATACGGTGTCGTACTAACAGTTCTGAGGTCACTTTAAGGGACGTTGGACGGAAATTAAATGAAAGGGCACTAATTGAGATTATGAGAAAGACCCGTGTTGTTGACGTTGTATTGACTATTTAAATTAACAATCAAAATACAAATAATACTTTTTAATAAAATACGGGAGCTTCAAGAAGACTCGAGTAGACTACTCGTACCTTAGTGGCTGGCATCGCAACTGTGACTCCTTGGATGTTGCAACTGTCCTTGGGCGGCGGTGATACCTTACCATCAAGTGACCAGCTTGCTCGTTTGTCACCTTTTTCAATGGTTAGGTCTTTGAATAGTTCCATAGGTAGCGATTACAAATGAATAGTTTATCGCCCGCGGCTTCGCTCGCGTTAGACCCCTTAAAAATTATCTTTCAACCCTTTAAAAAACTTTTTTTCAATCAAAAAGAGCCTCTGTCCTTTCTCAGGCTCTAAGCTATCTGTGTAACAAATTTCATTTATATCAGTTCAGTAGTTTGGGAGTGAAAGCAAGACAGAGTTACTTTCGCATTTATAATATTAGTATGGATGAATGATGGAAATGATGGATCATTTATTTAGTTTCGACTAATAACACAGTTATATTAACAATTAAAATAAATATATAACGAAGAGCATGGTATAAACCAAAAAAAGATGAATAATAAATAACATAGTACAACTAAGATACACAAAGCGGATCTCGTAACATCAGGTTAATCGCCTGCTTATCAACTTTTTTACATTTGACTTCCTTCTTCATTCTTTAATATAAATTATTTCAATTATTACACTCGTAATCTACACAAAAAGTCTTTTACGACAACAGAATTTTACCCATGTTAAAAGTTTAGTGATTAAAATTCACTTCATTGATTTTCATTTCGTCTCTTCGATTCGAAACATCGGAGATTATCTGAATGCTCCCGCTTGACTTGTCCGCATCGACTTAACGGAAGTTTTAACTTGATGGTCAATTAACGCGGTTCAAAGTTTCAAGGGAGCAACCTCCGCTTTGATCTCATTTATTGGCTTTGCGTTTCCTCGCGGTTAGTTTTTCTGTTGGTTTTGTGAAATGATTGAACATTTAATAGCATTTAAGTCAGCACATAGACGTTCCCTGCAGACTGCCGCGAAACACAATCCTGAGCCACCTGCATTCATCGACTTGCCGCATACTTGCACATTTCTCTACGTGATAGAGTTCGCAACGACGATATCCGCAGTAGGAAGGCTCAGAAGATTAGTGAACTGCTATGTACACCGTTATTTTCATATGTATCAGCAATAAGTTTTTATAATCAAATGAGTCTATGTAAATGTCCAATACATATGATGTGGTTGTACTTTAAATAAATAAATAAATAAACTGTAGTGGCAATGGGCCGGCCATATAGCTCGCGGAACCAACCGTCCACGTCTCATGCCGCCGAAGTCAATAGCAACGCAACTAAGCCGATACCGAACCGCCATTTTTCTATTCGATCTTTATATATTTCGATCACTACTGAGTTATGTCAAGATTTTGAAAACTTTTTAACACTAGGCCATTGTCGGAAAATTCAGCTTATAGAGTTTGTTCTTTATTTCCAACACATAGTAAGCGGTTCCGTTGCCACATTGCCACATTTGTATGTTAATCGCGGTGGAGCTTGCGTATAGATGGCAGCCTTTAAGAGGAAATGGCTGAGTAGGTTGAAGATATAAAAAAACCATACCGAAATTGTCGCGCAAAACATTGTCTGCCTCGAGCAGAACAAATTTATTTTTTTTTTCAAATAATAAGATAAAACGTAATATAGATACGGTTCACATTTTAGTGCTAGTTCCGATTACAACCTTATGAATTGCTTCATTACTATTAAATTCTTGCAATTTTAAACAGTCAAAATCTTTACGATAGAGACTATGTTTGAATTAAAAGACTTGAGGTAAAATGTAAAGCCTTTTATATTTGACGCAAATATGGTCTTGAATGGAGCCTTTGCCTCTGAGCATAGCGCCTTTGCAATTTCCCACTACTTGAATATTCCAGCCTTGCTTATGAGCTGCCGGAATATTGCTTAAGTATTTTGTTTGGGCGCTCTAGAGAAAAATATTCGATTATCATCCGCAAATCCTCCGTGTCGTAAAGGAAATGCGTTGTTATGTTATTACTGTATTCGTGGAATGCCTATAATGTTACGGTACTTTGTTGGATGTGTTGTTATTTTTGCGTTAATATGTATTGCGTCTAGTATATGTATCTATCTTTTTATGAACCCTATTAAATAAAATTTAACAAAAGATAAGGAGTTAACTAATTTTTCTACTATTTTCACATCTTAAAAGACTATTTTGTGTGAAAAAGTTTTGAGTACGGTATCAATTTGAAGAAAATATTAATTAGGTAAGAGGTATATCAATATAAAGAAAATAAATCTGTATAGAAAGACTTGACCTGACACTACTTTAACTTAAAAAAAGTGTAAAAAAAGATCAATCTAAAAATAATAAGGTAAAAAATAATATTCCCGTACATTATACATTCAGCACTAGTTTTCGATGTTTGCGTGTTGTTTAGTTTTTTACTGTTATTAAATCTTAAGTGCAAAGATTAGCACTATAAACAATTTAAATTTCTAGGTAAGAGGTATATAAATATAAAGAAAATAAATCTGTATAGAATTTGAATTTAACAACAAGTTAAGTCCATGTTACTTAAACTCAAGGAATCTATCATGGACGTTACATTTGTGAGCGAGTCCAATTAATTCGCACACTTACCGTGTCTGCTTATGTTTCATTGGGGCGTTAAATGCGTGGATCCATTGAGCGGTGCTTATGTCGCCGGAAGTCTAAGGCTGTCCAATTGAATGCCAAGACTTCCGTTTGGGAGAGGGGCCGCTAGACGGCATCAGCACAAACCGACATTCAGCCTATTGACACAGCGAAGACAGAACGAAAGGAATGGTGTTTAAGTGACACTCGATAAATTAATCATGTAATATGTAACAACAAAAATTTGCAACCGATCATAACAATCCTGGAAATATCAGAGAAAATAATTTTTTTATACTATCTACTCAAAAACGAAGCTCTTAAGTTTAAGCATAGGAATTTATAACAGGTTTTAATTTGAGATTAAATGTAAGCTCTAAAGACTCCGCAACATCGATTGTATGAATAGTTTTTTGACGTCATAAAATGATATTTCACCCGAGCTACCGATTGATCATTGTTTTGGTCTACATAAGATCTATTTAGCCTTTACTGTTTAGTAAATGAGGTACCTATACAGTACAGCATCGCTAGTACAACTAAACGCATATTCTAACAACTGTGTTTTTCAAATAAATAAACGTCGTCTTCATTTTACTTCTCGATTCATAAATTGCACGCGTACTAAGTATGCAGACGGCGTGCAATATATTACACAGTACAGGAACATTTGCCGCTATCAGATTTTAAACAGTCTGGAGCGCGGCGTATTTTTCGCGTGAAATATGGCGTTTTCCCGCGTTTTTGTTAATGATAAATGTCACCTGGAGAGGTTGAGGCGCGATCGCGGGACCGCCCGCGCTACATTCACATGGAAATTAACGCCGCTATAAATCACGCGGCTGGCAGACTTTTCATTCGCGGCCCGCCCACGGTCTGGCACTTGGCAATATTCGCCGTGACTGTTCGGAAAAAGAGCACCCTTCGAAATCGTTTTCCGCCATCTTTACTCCTGTGGTGAGCCCATCTCGGCTTAACTCAGGTGTTTGTCAGCGCCGGCTCGTTCGCCTTCCGTATAGTTTATGGTACATATTATACGGGACTTGAAATAAGCCTATTAGATGGTGAATAGAAGGCTTCAAATGCTAAAAAACAATTTAGATAAAAATACATTATGATTTTCGTTGGTGAAGCAATCAGCCGTTTAGCTGAGTGGCTAAAGCGTCAGGCCGCGAATGCCGAAGACGTGGGTACGATTCCCACAGCGGCGACAATCTTTTCGTACTTTTTCTAAATATTTTATTGTTAAATCTTAAGTGCAGAGTTTAGCACTATAATTTTTTTTAATTTATATAGAGTGATTCAAGAGGAAGGTTTATACGTTGCACCCGTGCGAAGCCGGGGCGGATCGCTAGTAAAAGTTGCTAAATTGGATGGTTGCAACACTCGTTCTTCACTTATTATCTAGCTTGCTGAGCTGCTATCGCTCTTAACAAAAAATAAAATACGTATATTCAACAAATATTTTGACAACAACGAAAAGTCCGCGTTTAATCTGTGCAGTTCGAATATGTAATCCCGCCTCGTATGAGTGACGGAGGCTTTTTCGCTAATGAGTGACCATTTTTTCTGGCATTCGATTTGCTTCGATGTTTTATTTATAAAATTCGCCACGAAGGTTGGTTTGAATTCTCGTTACGCGAAAGTTAAACGGAGCAAAGGGCGTATATAAGTAGACATTGTAAAAAATGTTGTAAGAATTGTAAAAGAACACTTTCTGAGTGAAGAAAGTGTTACTTTACTGGAGTAGAGAAAGTTTTCTTTAACTTATACATATAATTATATTTATTTAATCTTCAATGACGTTAATACAAATGTATTAAAATTGTTTTATACGTCTGTACTATTATATTTATTGTTTTATTCAATAAATGGTCCTTGACTTCAAAAATCTCCTCCACAGCTATTATCTCGAAATACGTAGGTAGCGCAGCAGAAAATATGTATAAAGATTTATTGTATCTACCCGACCTGCATTACTTTGATCGCCTTTTATTTTGTCTCTGAATTCCCCGCGTTTCTATTAATGGGACAGTGGGTTAACCGTTACATAAGAACGTAAAATAGCTCAGTCTGTCCCGTGACCGTGTACGCTGTAGTGTTACAAAACGGGAATTTAAAAACAAAATGAACAGCGATAAAATCCGTAAGAGATTTTTTTTAACAAGAAAATATACGAGACATATTTTTTGTTGCGATGGAAACTATTTATACTCCAAACTTTATGAACAACGTTTTGATATTTACATATAATCACAATTACAAGTTATTTAATTGGACCATTATCAATTACATTTAATGTCTTTTTCACAAACAAAGAGAACAGCGGATGAAGTTTTTAGTCATGTTTCTTTTGTTATGCTAAAGAAGTATATAACTTATTATGTGCTTACATAAGTACACGCATACTTTTTTTTAATCATAATTTTTATTAATAACAAAAACATCTTTTAATTTATTAAAGTTCCTTCAACCGGCAAACTTTCGTCATAAACGTCCCGCGTCTTTGCTGGTATCAATTTAATTTGTTACCACGAAATGTTTGCGTCATTCCCTACACGTTCCCGTATATTATCCGATCGTTATATCATAAAGGGAGCCGGATTAATACGGCCCCAGATCTTTTCCTGATTAATACAATTTACGGTTCACTCCGGGTCGGCGTAACGTATTTTCTTTGTCACTTGGCTCGTCCACAAACTCACTGGTCCGTATTCTGTAGGACGGTAAAAGTATGTTATACAGGATGTTATAATGGTGTTATAAGAGGAGGTAAAGAGTTTCAGCTCTAAATATTTCAGGCCAAGACGTAAGTGGTACTTATGAGTACCTTATATGGAGTTAATTTCAGTAGCTCAGTTTGTAGCAAGTTAAATGTGAAAACAATGGTTATATTTATGACATCCAATCAATCAAGGCTTTTCTTAGTTTCACCATCGGAGTGTAATTATCGTAAAAGTTACCTCTACAATTAATAACAGAGAAAATGTAATTACACCGTATAATATACTATGGTATCAAAATGTGTGTAATCCGCTAGATATATAGTAAATATTTACAATTACCATAAAAAGGATTTTTATTGTGTAGGACAAGTTTTATTAATAATTCAGATAGCTGTTTTATGTGTTTTGTCACTAACATTTCAATTTAACGACCTTAGGTAGAAATTATATAGAATGATGTATTTGATATGTGTAAATCTCGACAGCGAAAGCCAAATAGAATAATTTCCACAAAATAATTATTTGGTTCACTATTCTTTTTATTAGAAAACTTAATTTACAATACATGTAATAGAAAACTTTACAATATTTTTCATTAATTGGCCAACCAAAAAGTCTAACAGAGTAGGTTCGTAGTAGTGTGGAAAGAATGCTTACTGCTTTATGTCGTTGATCTCTAAAGAAAAAGAACCATCCCTCTATATAAGCTCCGGTGTAAATCTTTCTAATGTTGTCGAACCAAGATCTAAAGCCCTGTGCATGACATTATTATGAAACCATGGCAGGAGAAGATTCGAATTTTCGATTCACTTTATGATATATAGTCGCATATTATAAATAATTTGTCCCATTTGCAATTGGAGCAAACTGCAGACTGAAACAGCGCTTTACCGAGCAAGGGTCAAACAATTCTACCCGGTGCAGACAATTAAGATGTTTGCACGGGAACACTCTCGGATACGACGCCTCGACTTATCCATTTGCAGCGAAGTGGCCCGGATTTGTTACGTTGCATATCTGACAACTTTAGCTGAATTGAGGATATAAGATGTTTGAAGATATAGTGCATTTTTTTATTTACTGATCACCAGATGTTCCTGTAAATCTTGCTCTAATTGTGATATTCACTATAAAATAACTTTCCGATTCTTATCTGAACTGATTTTGAACCAGTGGTTAAAATTGGAATTATTACACGTGCATTTTTATAATAATAATAATTTATTAAGCACAGTATAGTAAAGTATTGATAATAAAAATACACAGTTAATAAAATATGGTTTGAATTTTATTAGCCCTTCGGTGGGATTCTCTGTGGTAAACTAGACCCCAGGTTCTTCTTATGAAAGTTTAAATTAAATATGATTTAAGTTAATAGTTCAAAGCTTAAATGTTAAAGAAAAAAAGTAATGCAAATAATATATTAAGTGAATAAATTATTCTTATAATTGAGTAGTAAAATATATACAAAAAAGGAAAAACAATACAATTCTAATCAATCAAAACGTTTCAACGTAAAACGTTTTGCTCAAGCACTCATGAAACATTTATAAAATGGATAGAACACTTTTCACCTTGACGTTAACAAATATATCTATCACATATTATGTATAAAGTACATTAATGCTGAATTGGCTACGAATAGACCGTCACTTAATTTAAAAACAAATCTAGATAGAATATATGATTTATATGAAGAGAAGTTTCTTAAATAATTTGTTGAATATTTTTTTAATTTTTAAAAACATAGTCGTAGTCAAAATACAATTCCGTAATATCAAAAACATATACAATTAAAATTATTCTGTGAAAGCTGGCCTAACATCGATGCACATTATGTTTAGCGAGTAATTACGGCCATCTAAGGGGTACTTCGGTCAGGGCGGGGGCGGCATCGGGGCATCTGAAATAACTAAGCAGTGCAAATATAAGTTTCTATGTTTAGATTATGTATCTGTGGCATTAGCTGTTGAAACTTTGGGTCCGTGGGGTCCCTATACATCGGAATTTTTGAGAGGTTTACGTCCTATGCAGCCGCGGCTGGTGACAAGAACTGGTTCTTTTCTCACTTAAAGGTTAAGCATAACTATTCAGCGAGGAAATGCAGCAAGCGTTCTTGGCACCATGCCGCGTGGATTAGGTTTATTAGATAATATATAATTATACATAGATTTAATGTTGTAAATGTGGGATAAATGAATTATTGTATACATTACTGCCGATAACATTTTCATATTCCATAGAAACTGACGTCGGCGGTTTAACTGAAACGCGATAAATTTAGTTTAATAGTGATTAGTTTTGTAATTGAAACATCTCTGTTGTTGCAGGTACGCTTTCGGTGGGATGACGCGCGTCCATCTGACGTCGACTCTCCGCTCCCGGGAAAAGTTGTGCGCGGGCTTACGTCCCGGATTAGGGGCGCTGTTTGCCCCGGGTCGGGGCAGCTGAATTGTCCGTTCACCCCGGGGAGCGTGAAGCGGAACCGGGCTTGGGTTTGCCCAATGGTTTATGCCGTTCCGTTACTATGTTGGCAACGGTTATCGACGTTATTGCGATCTGCGACTGTTTGTGCGAACGCTTGGTATTTAGTTAGTTATTTCGCATTTCATAAGCAGAAGTATTCCCATCTTTGCGTTTCTTCTAGTGAGTGGGATAATTGATGGCTTAAGCGTTCAAATAGAATATGTGATTTTGTGTGACACTTCCTGGAGTGATTGTCTCAAATTATAATATTATCTTGTTCTCTTTTAGAAAGTTTAATTTGTGCAGCGACTTATAGACGAGTCGTACGTGGTCACGATTAAGTATAATACTAATCATTTTTAACATTTAAATACAAAAACCACATGCAGCCTCGGAGCAGACTGGTAGAGACGGCAAAAACAACTTGTCAGTACGGTGCGCGCAAAAAGTTAATGGGAGACATAATTGTCGTTTTTCCTCTACCCTCACGACCTCGGTTTTTGCTAACCTACTCGCTGCTACCTCTATGGATTCACCGGCTATTGGATAATGTCCACTTTTCATTTTAATTAGTGTTTAATTACATTACTTTAAGTGTATTTCTATGGTAAGATTTATTTAGAGAAAAGTACTTTAAATATTAATAAAAAGTATCACGTAAATTCTACCAGCACAATATTCTCAATTCAATTTCGACATTCTCTTCGGAATTTTGTGTACAGTATATAAACTGTAGGCAATATAATAAATTAGACGATTGATATTTTAATTTTAATTACATTTTTGATTAAAATATCAACTATACAACCATTCGAAACAAGAAAATAAATAGGAAACTTGAACAAAAAACATGCTTAGGTACTATTGCAAAAAAATTGACTGAAATTATAGGATGTGATTGGGAATATTAATAAATTAATACATTAAAAAAATAATTGATTTTGTGTATACACGTGCAAGAGATATCTTTTTCCTCGAAGTTATTTGTTTATAAGTTATCAGGGATTCCCAAAATATTAGGTACTCTTTTATAATTGTGTCATTTGATTCATCGTGTTTTCGTTTTCAAGCAAAACACCTACACGTTTCTTCTTAGGTTGAAACTTTTGTATAGGAATAAAATCGTACGTAACAATGTTTATACCGATTGTGCCATCTGTATCTATAAAATCACATCTAAGAAGTTGATATTTTTTCTTTAAAGAAAGAAAGAAAGAAAGAGATTTATTTGACATAAAACAGACTGACGTACACAACAATCACTTAAAACAATAAAAATTAGACAAAAAAGACATGAACATAAAACTCCAATATGCATATTTTCCCTTTCAATAAAGTACGTCGCGATTCATGCCAAAAAGGACATCACTCAGCAGAATGTTGCAGTGAAACTGCAACGCTGATTTTCAGTAATGACCAAAAATTGGGGAATACAGCCCCGAGCCCAAAAAAAAAAACAATACATTTATCAAAAACAAAAGTAAGAAACTAAAATTATAATAAAATAACAACTCAAAAAACAACAAAAATGGGAACGTTAATTAGGATCGAAAATGTATCCACCAATCCATACATGTGTGTGCATCAGGCACGTGCTTCATTTTCAACTTCATTTTCATTTTCAACTTTATTCATCTTATGTTCTATAAAATAATATAATTATGCCTTAAGCAAAGTTAGACATGGTGTGGCAACAGCCACAACTATTTGTGAGGAGGATTTCGAGGAATAGGAGGAAAGATTTCGATTTGGTTTGCGTTGTGCGAAATGAAATGCCACAATTATTTCCGGCCCAGGACATTTTCCTCAGCACCCATGTCTTGTGGCGCCGCCGGTGATTGATGGCGATGCGTAGATGATGTACATCTGGCAACAGGTGGCGAGGCGGTACAAGCTTAATTTCTTGTTATTTATCTGTGCTTCAAATGCTCGCCTGCTTCGAGACATTGCCCGGAAATCTCAATATTTAAACATAAAACCGTTTAAAAACTTTTAAGTTAAACGGTTTTATTTTCTGTTTTTTTTTTGTGCACTGAAAACTACAATATTGTATTGTCATCTAAATTAAATGTGTGTACCAAATTTCAGATCAATCTGACAACGGGAAAGTGCTTAAATTTCAATTTCTAATTTTGACCCAAATAAATAAATTCCGTACGTGTCGAGCTAAATAAAACCGTTTAATAATGCAATAACATGCAGCAAAGACTTTGCTATTGCACAAATAGGCAGGTTGGCTCCATGAAATGGAGTGTATACTTCATCGTTTCGAGTTGTGAGTGAGCTAACAGTGACTCACTTTAGTTTGCAACCCTATGGGCATTGAATTTGTCCATGGCGGCCGTCGTTTAACATAAAGTGAGCCGCCAGCTCGCTGTTATTATAAATAATATATATATATATATTTAATACAAATAATATATATATAAATATTAAAACATTTGTTACATTAAAAACATTACTGAAAAATATTTTTTTTTAGAAATTCATGTTAAAATGTTCCGCCCAACTATGTTCGGCGGAACATTTTAAATTGCAAATGTAATTATTTTCGACGTCCATGGGGCGATGCGTTTTAATTACGTTCGCGAAACTGCAAGTGGCGCCGCGCATCGCAATGAGGCGCGTTCCGCGGGGCCCTGGGTTCCCAACCGAACCGCCCCGGGGAATACTAATCGTGCAAAGTATAATTGAATTAATTATTAATATCCCACCGCGAATCTGCGCTCATTAAAAACTTTCCGGCGGAGTTTTTTCAATTATGATAATACGACTGACACTGAAGGAAGCCGGACAAAAAGTTAGCATGTTCTCGACACGCTTTGGAGATATTATAATTTCAAGACGATTGTCTTGCCACAGTAAAAGCTGTTGTAACAGAAACAGCCTATACATGTCATACTGCTGGGCAAAGGCCTCCTCTATACAGAGGGTATCAGGGCATTCGTCCACCACGCAACCCCACTGCGGATTGGCGGACTTCACATATCTTCAAAACAGTTTTCGAAAATATGCAAATTTCCTCACGGTGTTTTCTTCACAGCTGAGCACGTGATATAAAAATTGTATACAATGTAAATCTCTTACAGACACAGCGGAGCCTCATATTCCGGGCTCTCTAATCATCGTAATTTTTTTATTGGGGAAATAACCATTTCACCGTTTACAGCTGTTATGTTGTTTACATTACAGTGTCGTGTATCGTAAAGAGAGACTCAAAGTGAAACGCTTACATTACGCTGTCTGCACCCTTGCTCTTAATGGTTAAACAGGCGCCAACAACAATAAAGCCGATAATTACAAGTGCATAACAAGAGTTCACATTCTGTGTGCGAGAGCATTGCATTGTGCAATGGCGCGAAATTGTCAAGATGGCGTCTCGCCGCAAAATGGCGGACGACGTCAGGTCTCACCGTTACGACCAATAACGCTGTTCCATTGAGCAGGCAACTTCTGTTTTTACATTTGTATGCAGTCAGTTCGTAACAAAAAGCCACCAGTGCTCTTCTTGTTGTTTATGTGTCATTACATTAATGCACAGACCCAAAGCTTTTATACGGTAATAGTACGAAAACGACCTTGGAGTACGATACAACTTTGGAGTAATGTAATCATCCTTAGTGTAGTGAGGTGTGAATATGGAAAACTGATTAAAGATTGGATTCACATTTTTTGTTTACTTGTTTAAATCTGTACTGGGAACTGTTCCAAATTAATAATAACCGTTGCAATGAGTAGGATTACTTCACTTAGTTAGTGCATCAACAAACACCAACCAACACAATGCATACACTAGGTACACCCGGGTTCCAGAGCGGTTCTCTCCGCCCCCAGCCTCCGACTAACCAAGCACAGTTAACGACCATCAGGGTCACGGTCCGCACCGAACCTCGATGGCCCGTGGCCGACATGCCATAATTAACGCAAGCATGAGTACATGCGCGGCCCTACCCACTGAGGAAGGCCTCAAACCCGTGGCTTCTGTCTAGCCCACCGGTTCTGCGTTCGATGAAGCTTTAATAGTCTAAGGACTGAAATCACTGAATGCTACGCATCAGTTATAAAAAAAAAGGATTACTTTGACTTAGATAGGAGAAAGGCATTACATTCCGCTATCGAGATACATAAACGTTCTCATTAGATCAATGCCTGCTTGTCTAAACTGACGCTTCACATAGAGGCATCTGTGTATACATTCAAAAACAATTAAAAATCATGTCTGTTTGATTGGAGCCCCACTTAAATATTTTTAGTATTTCGTGGTATAGCGGCAACGGAAATACATCATCTGTGAAAATTTCAACTGTCTACTATCACGGGTCATGAGATACAGCTTGGTGACAAACGGACAAATAGATGGACAGCGGAGTCTTAGTAATAGGGTCCCGTTTCACCTTGAAAACTGAACCCTTAAAAATTAGGCCGAACAAGCATTACATAGTATATAACCTGTACATACAGAAATTGAAATATATCAACTTTTTATAGAAATAGAAAAAAACAACACAATTATTTTTGTTATCGATTCACAAGTCTATCTAGCGTAAAAATAACATATAATCACAAAGTTTAAAACCCCCTAAGGTACAATTAGTGAATTCTTCGTCACTTGTAAAAATAACGTTGATAAGCCACGTTCGCGACAGCATTTTCCAACTTTTATCGCTTGAGAGTCATACCGTCTACTCGCTAATTGTACAAACATTCAGCCAAAGGGTTCTTAACCCCTTTTATTCAACGTAGTCTTTTTCAAGGTTCTTCTACTTCGTCTCGGTCTATTATTGTTTTCTTCATAATGTTGGGCTTATTTAAATACAGTACTAGAATAAAGTCACAGCCAAATAACATTATGGCTGTGGCCAGACTATAAAACTTATTTATATTTTTAAAAAAATTTACCAAAATATTCGCCAAATTCGACAATTATTGAGCATCATTGAGGTTTCACGAGAGACTTTTTAAAATAATGTTATGACGCAATAAAATTGTTTTAAATAAATTCATTTTAATGAATGCCGATTAATGGCAATGTTTTATTAATTTGCATTAATAAAAATATTTTTCGAAGAATTAATACAGTCATAGAAATCAGGAACTAAAGCCAACGGATTACTTATCAATTTTAAGAAACGAGCCAAAACATAATAAAATTAGCAGATATTTCATAAAACTGATATGTTCAAAAATGTTTATAAAAAAGTTGTTGTTATGTCGGTATCTATTGGACGACTGCAGAACTGATGAGTTGTGACAATTATTAAATATGAAACATCATTACAAGATAGGAAAGGAAATAAAGGTCAACACAAAGCGCAGGGTAGTGGTGATAATTGGAAAAATAATTCGCTTAGAATAGAATAGGAAATAAAATTGACCAAACCAATGATATTATATGCAAATAACAGGTAGATATGACACTAGAGTACCAAAACTGAGGGACTCAAATTATTATCTCTTTCGTATCATACGTTGTATATCATCTCTCACGTCCACTTATATCCTTACTAATAATAAGCGCGAAAGTTTGTATGGATGGATGTTTGTTACTCTTTCACGCAAATTCTACTGAATGGATTTTAATGAAACTTTACAATAATATAGTTCATACATCAGAATAACACACAGGCGATAATTTGTCTGAATGTTACGCCTTCAGCCTATTCTATGCAGACGTAGTCGCGGGCAGTAGCTAGTATGTCATATAATGTAAAGCGGAACAATTTTTAAACGCAACGCAGTGTGGACATACGTCATCTATATTATCGAACATCACTGGCCAAAACATTACCTCATAGCAGCAGTCAATAGGAGCGAAGCTGCCTGGTAATCCTTTTCCCCCGGTCTCGGCACGCGGAGCATTTGGCATTCCCCTGGCGTCGTGCCGGGTCGGTACGGGAAATGAGTGCACACTTTATCGCCCCGGTAAGTAGTAAACAAGCGCCTGGTCAATTTCACGGGGGCACTTCGCACGTACGTAACGGGTGGGGCGCGTTCGGACGGCGGTATGCAGTCTGGGTTCCTTTTTATGTGGGAAAAATCCTTTAGGGATCAATGCCACCGGATCGGGGAGGGGCGGGGGTATGTGGGAGGTACTGACTAAAATACCACGTTGCACCTATCTCTGTCGCATCGGCCGAGGACACGGGAACATGAAGACGCAATCTTCCACAACATACAGTCTGACTATCACCTTATAACGAAGATTTTTCTTATGTGTGAAAGTGGCAAACGATTTTCCGGTGGTGGGGCCACGCAGCAGCCTCGGCTGTTGCACGAATGGGCAGGCTCGTCCGGGTAAGTACCACGACCTCACAGAAGACCGGCGTCAAGTGGAAGTATAATACTTTCGCGTTTCGTCTGGTGAGTGAGGTGGCAGGAGCCCAATTTTCAAAAAGGTTGTCAACGCATCTGCAACCCTTGGGTGTAGCAGGTGGTTCAAGTTGTTAAGTGATAACCGCCGCCCATGGCCATATGCAAGACCAGTAGAGTTGCTGATACGTTGCCACCTCACTAATAAAGAGGGATTGACTACCTCACTCACCAGACGAAATGGAGAAGCGTAACACTTCCAATTGACGCCGGTCTTCTGTGAGGTCGTGGTACTTACCCGGAGGGAGCAGCCCTACCACAGTTAGAATGTCTAACTTTGACGAAAAGCAACCTACAGCTTTAACCGGTGTGCTTAGAGCTATTTGATTTGGTATATCGACTTCATTAAATAACGAACTTGAACACTCAGACAAGTTCTAAGAACCCTGTCAAGATTTTATGTTGAATCTCAATTCAGTCAGATTATTTTTCTCTTTCGTCTAATTGATATGTAGTGGTCGTTACAACTTGTATATCAATGAAATTATTGTTTTGTTGTTTTATGTATTTATGTTTTTTCGATTTATTTTTAATTTCTAGATGTTACTTAAGTTTACCATTGACTTTGTTAGTAATATGACAGCCCGAATTTTGCTATGACTTGAGAGAAGAAAGTTCGTCGGGAATTTAAAAATGGAATTGAAAGTAAGTGGCGCAATATGAGTCTCTATGTTTAGATTACCTATTTGTGCCATTTGCTGTTGAAGTTTTGGATCCGTGGGGTCCCCGTACATCGAAATTTATGAAAGGAATACATCCTAGACTTAACGCCGCGGCTGGTGGCAAGAGAGCTGGTTCTTTCCTCGCTCAAAGGTTAAGGATAACTATTCAGCGAGAAAATACAGCTAGTAGCGTTTTTGGGACCATGCCGCGTGGTATATTATGTACATAGATAATATTATGTAATTTAGATAGATTTAATGTTGAAAATTTAGGATAAATAAATTGTATATTAAAAATAATTCAATTTGAAAGTGATAACATTCTTAAAAAAATGATTTATCAATGTGTTGCGTTAATGTAAATTTATGAAATCGTCGCCATTTTGACTTCAATTAACTGATATAATTTATGGGCTTGTTATTGTCAGTAGAAATTGTTTTTTTGCAACATAAAACTGCATCCGTTCGTTATAAATTAATCAATATTTGAATATTCGTACCTCGATCGAACCATGTTACAAAACCTCGATGACTACGCGGCGCAGTTGCTAAGGTATTGGCTTCGGCGTCTGTGGCCGTGGGTTCGGTTCCCAAACAGGACAACTATTTGTGTGCCCCACTGGTAATTGTTTCGGATCTATCTAATTGTGTTTGTTCACGTGAAATGCGTGTGTGTAAAACGTCCCTACGCGATACAGGATAATGTTATCCCACAAAAAAAGAGCTAGAAATGTTTCTAATTACTTAATTGAGTTTTATGTTAACCTCGTTAATGCTTAGAATTCATTAAGTCTGTCTGCAGATATATCTTCCGTTAATATCTGCAGTGTATAGGTGTTGTATTGAGATTTGATAGCTTATTCGTTTTTTCCGCACCTTTCGCATAAAGCCCTCCAGCCGTGCAGCGAGCGGTCTGGGCGTGCTCTCGGCCGTCGATCGCAGATTACGACGTTACCGGTAGGCACTGGAATAAACTAGTGGCGCACGTGTTCCGGGCAAATCGCTCCTTGTGTTACAATGTCTCTTCAGAGGCTTAAGATGTTATGAATGTGAAAACGGACGTCCCGTTGATATAGAGATATGGACGGATTGATATGGTGTTCGTTCGATGTGGGCTATATTTCTTAGGAAGTGTATAGTAAATTAAATGTAAGTAACAGCCTATACATGACATACTGGGCAAAGGCGACTCGTGCTGCTGCGTAATCCCACTGCGGATTGGCGGCCTTCTCATTTCTTCGAAATAGGTTTTTTTTGTTATTATTTCACGATGACACGATGTTTTTCTTCACCGCTGAGCACACATCATAAGTCAGCATCTAAATTAATAGTTTCATTGCTGCTGGCACCGGGACTTGAAGATATTTATTAGGATAATTGATTAAAAGTTAGCGCCCGGACACTGAGCTATGACGGCTCTTGTATAATTCAGTTAAATGAACAGGTAACTGATTATAAATAAAGCTAAAAACACTGCCAGCTTTCTAGCTGGCGCGATGGATACCGATTACACATATTGCAAATTCCAGTTCTAAAAAGTATAAGGTCGTCAGGTTATTGTGTTGTGGATGTTATATAAAAAAGTACACCACAAAAAGAATATATTGCTCTCAAATAGCTCGACGAAAGTTAACGTAATTTTAAATAAGACTAATTAAATCTTACATAAGTTACCTATAAATTTATATAATTTACGGTGGTAGGGCCACGCAGCAGCCTTGGCTGTTGCACGAATGGGCAGGCCCGTCCGGGTAAGTAGTACCACGACCTCACAGAAGACCAGCGTAAAGTGGAAGTATGACAAATACTTTCGCGTTTCGTCTGGTGAGTGAGGTAGCCGGAGCCCAATTTTCAAAAGGTTGTCAACGCATCTGTAACCCTCGGGTGTGGCAGATGTCCATGAGCGGCGATATTCACTTAACATCAGGTGAACCGTCTGCTCTTTTGATAACTTTTCGCATAAAAAAAATGCACGCGGTTAGTCGTATAACAATGCATTAAAAAAATAGAAATTTCAAATGTTGCAAGTGATCGTGCAGTGGAACATAATTAAAATGGTCCGTTCTGTACACAACGACCCTCGAGTCCGTTTTGCATCCTTCGGGAAGAAGTTGGGGTCCGCATTAGATGTAATCGTGGACCCTAACAAGGCCATTACGTACGTGGGTTGGACGGAATTTATTCTCCGCCGCACGACAGGACTCGAGCGTATGGACTGACAGCGTACTGGCCGAGGACTTGGGGGAGTTGCTCTCGGTTCAAGCTGAAAACTCGGGCGATCGAATGGTAATTTTAATGAGGAGGTCTTTGCCAGAGGTGGGTCGTCTATATTTTTTTTAATTTAATTAAGTGAAGTATTTAACGTCAAATTGAGGCGCGGTGTCAGTATTATGCTTTTACACTTCGCTGGAAAGAAGTATATTTGGAAAATTTTATAGATAAAAAAACAAATGGACATTTTTATAGAGAAATGTACGTAATGCAGTGGATGACATTTTTTAGTTGGTTTACACCGCCAAGACCAAAAAAATTAAAGCTTTTTCGAATGAAATCATAACTGAAGAAATAGTAATATAGAAATAGTATAAAACTGTGATAGTTATATTCTTTTATGTTAATCACGCGTGTATAACATATTTGATTTCGTTAAATTTTAACTCCTTAATGTATTGTATCGCGTTTTGTGTGTTTGCATAACTTTTTGTCAAAAGAAAAGAGCATTAAAAACAACTCGATTTTATTATTTGACACATAACGAAACAGGCAACACCGCCTTGCATTACTCCACCAGGCATTCAAGCAGGAATGAATATTATCTCGATTTATTTTTTAAATCGCTTCAGCTGTTGCCTTGTACCACGCGCTGAAGCGAGGCTCCATTTCTTGCACAAGTTGAACGAAACCAGTGTACGCGGATTTCTCTCGACCCTGTCTGCTGTCGGCCGTCTTGGAATCAAGAGTTGGGGAGCTCACTCTGATATTTTTGTATAGCCTTGCGCTGTTTAGCTTGTTTAGCTTTGAGCTGCGATAGCTGTTTCCAGGCTTCTTAAGTTGTTTAATGGAAGAAGCCGGATTCAAAAATATATCTAGGCACCGATGAATTATTAATCTTTACTCTGCGGTGAAGAAAACACTGTGAGAAAATTAGCATAGTTTCGAAATGACAATAAAAATCGTCTATGTGATGCACTACAAGGCACATTTGCGTAAGTTACAATTATCTACGGTATCCACTCAAGTATTGCTATGTTCTTTAATATGTTTATTTCGTTTCGTATTCTCTCGCTCGTATGGCGTAACTGTTTTGGCCCGTGTTTACTTGTGACATGTACGTTATTCGGAAGCGGTTGGTCTTTGAAATGTACATAGGAGGCGAAATCTTTAATTTATTAAATCGTACAGCATCAGGTTGTTAAGTAAAACATTAAAACATTAGTACTGTACAGCGGTTAGGATCTATATATATAAAAAGATGAAAATTCGAGTTGAGGACCACTGCCAACCATAATAAAAAATATCCACCTTCGCACACAATCGGAAGGCAGTTTTATGAGCAAAAGATTGAGGTTAGACTACAGACTCGCCTTTAGGCAATCTCCGCTCATCACGTGTATCAAATCGCGCGTAAATATCAGTTTCCCACGCCACTCACTCGCTGGTCAACGAACCATCGCGTCAGCAGTTTCTCGGACTTACGTATCTCGATCGTGTACCAATTCATCTTTACGGACCGAGTGTGATTAACATTCCGAACTACTAGAGCGATTTTAACATGTATAGCAGTTGCTTCGGCGTCGAGGGTCGTGGGTTCTGTTCCCACATGGGACAAATATTTGTGTGACGTACACATAATTGTTCTGGGTGTTTATTCCTAAAGAGAGTTGACCTCAGGCAGGCCTGATCGTAAATCTATATAATGCCTTAAAAAAATATTGACTTGTGTCGACCCCACCTAAGTAAAATAGGTGCAGGAAGAAGATACTTGCCTGTTTGTCATTGTAATTTGATTTTTATGATACCACACACGGGAGTAGTGTGTGTGTTTTTTTTTTAAAATTTTTCTACACATATTTATTAGACCTTTATGTTTTAATTTGTATAACATCGATATTTTTATGACGCTAATTAATATCATCGTTAATTTTTTATGTTTTCGCAATTTTAGTTTTCGCGTTTTATGCGATAAAGTCGTTTTACGGCCGAGCTCTTAAGTTGATGATGCTAAAAATATAACATTACAGTATAAACATACAAGGCGTCTATTAGACGGAAATCTCTTATAACATTAAATCGCAGTTCGACTTCTGCCCTGTTGTGGTACCATGAAGTGTGTTCCCGAGCTTCATTTTTAATCTTTCACACAGTGTAGTGAGCACTTCAACAGCTGCAAATTACGCGGAGTGGCCTGCAAATTGCCCCTGCAAATGTTCCAAATGGCACGGTACAAATATTTTGCGCGATGTTCAACATATTCCGTTCTGTTCATAATTGCTTTCAAAATGTTCAATGTACATAAATATAAAAAGCCATTTGAAAGTGGATCCTTGTCTTACGTGCTAGCTGTTTTGCGTGTATAAATTTAATTTTCTTAGTCATTAATTCACGCTACACAGAAATACCCGTATAAGGGCTACCTTAAAGTAAAGTATCCACCTATACGTGTCAAACTGCTGAGCAAAGGCCTCCTCTGTACAGAGGGTATCAGGGCATAGTCCACCAAGTGGCCTCACTGCGGATTGGCGGACTTCACATATCTTCGAAAATTTTTTTTTAATTATAATTTCGAAAATATGCAGGTTTCCTCATGATGTTTTCCCTCACCGCTGAGCATGTGATAATTCAGCTCTTAAAATTAACAATTTCATTGGTGGCGGCACCTGGGATCGAACTCAGATTGCTCGAGTATATTGAATTAAAGGCGAGCGCCCTGGACACTGAGATATCACGGCTCTCTTAAAGAGTAACTTACGTGTTTTATTATTTATCATTCTAGAAGTCATGTGGAGGGTCCACACTGTGTGGAAAAGTGGCGACCCAAGTTACACTTGCACATTCCAAACATTATCAACAGGTTTGAACCCCCATCTGAGGGGCCCTTGGATCGTGTCGTGCACAGGGGGGGCCCTGTAAGTCGATTCGATTGTCCATCTTTCGTGAGCAGGGTGTTGCGGAGTGCAGCGGAGCGGACGGCGTGTCTTCTTGTCGTCGTCGTGCACGAGCTACGTTGTTCTCCCGAGTCCGTGGGTCGTCTGCCCGCGGACCTCTTCCGCCGTGCTGTCAAAGCCAAAGGGCTAACAGCACACGGCTACACGTCACAAAAAAATATTTTGTCCGGCATTAGGACCATTAATATCAATACTACCGTAATAGACTCGGAGTTGACTGGCAAAGAATTTGGCTTTCGTTAATTGGCCGAATATAATTTTGGTGTATCGTGAGCTAAACTTTTTTTATGGAGCACGAAACTAATGATCAAAAAGTTCACTTTGTGGCAATTGTTCACCGCCGCACGTGGACATTTGCAACACCAAAAGAGTTGAAGAAAGTCACCACGGCCCTAAGAAACCCCTGGCCACAATTGGTTCCATTAAGTAATCGTAACAGGAATTTTCTTACGGTAGCAGTATAAGATAATTTCCTTTCACTGAGTACTTTTAACAATTTTAACAACATACTTTAATCTAATGCTCGGATGATAAGCCCTTTTAATAGTATGCCCCCCAAAGCCGAAGGGAGAATGGTGGGGTAATCCCTGGACCCACCGCTGGAACACTAGGCATTAAAAAAAGCGAACCGAATTTGAAAATGATTTTTAACGCGCATTCTGTATTTAAGTTGTCGTTCCTATCCTCATCATCATCATTTCAGCCTGTTTGAGTCCACTGCTGAACATAGGCCCTAGTCTTTCCTATGTCGCAGGCAATTTGTAATCTCTATCAATGATTACATCGAACCACCGTTAATGTCCATTGCATTTATTACAGTACGTTCAACAGTTGCATCTAATGACGAGAAACGGCAGAATGCTTTTCGATGTCAAGCTTTTCTCTTTAACTCAACTTGTTAATTTCGCTGCATTCTTGAAATGGTATCCCTAGTGCAATCGCATGTTGTCTTAGTGTATTCATGTCATGTCACGATTGTACGGGAGGTCGTGTTCGTGTGATATAAATGAAACAAATGTACGAGTATCTATTACATTAAGGAATTACTTGATTTGGAGGAAAGAGTCGACCTACAGCGATTTATAAATCCACACGTCACTTGTACTAAAAGTGTAGGGTTCACCTTTTACTGCATGTGGTGTTAAGAATAAGTATCGAGAAGATTACATATAACATAAACAAGACAGTAATTTTTTTTTATAACATTGCCCTCACTCGCGGCTCCAGCGTTTTTCATGAAATTTAGCATGTGCGCAGATTCGGGGGCGAAAAATCGATCTAGCTAGGTTTCATTTTTAGAAAATATCCTTTAATGTCCTTCAAAAAATATCATTCGAATATGACAGTAAATTTCGCCGCAAAAAAAAATGTTATAATAGCTCGGTAGGTAATCGGGCGGCCCCAAAACAGACGGCCGCGGTTCGTATCACGATCTTATTTTTACACACTTATTTTTTTTTTCTATGCCAGGTCATTTTCTTTATTTTTTATTTTTTTTATTTCCAAAATGCAAGATTTACCAAAAAAAAAGGTCCTCAAGGTACTTATTAATGATTTGTACAAGGTTGTTAAGGTCATAATTAGGTTGAGTTTATAACATCATGTTATTGTAGACGTTGTTTACGCTGGAAGAATTATTGCCATCTTCTTAATAGTGCCTTTATTTTTGCCATAAATGAATCGCCCCAAAATGGAGTTTTAAAGTTGTCTTATTTTCGAGACACCCTCTCCACGTTCGAGTTGACAGCCCAAACGTGTTTCCAAGATTAGCGAATGGCGATAAATTGAAAATAATACCCGAACATTATCAATAAACATATTAATATATTTCCCGATCGGCGATACAACTATAAAATTAAAGTCGTAAATGTGTCTTTAACCCCGTAAGCTGGTCAGATCTTCGTCTAAAAGTCTATTTTCGTTTATCGGATCTTTTACTGAGAATGAGAAACGTTTGAGTTTCGTGAATTCGGCTCGGTAAGGTTTCATATATGTATTTCTTCGAGCTCCGAAATTAGCATTAGTTTATTGCATCAACTTAATTGGTATTTTCAATTTAGCGATAAGAGCGCTCACTTCGATTTTGTTGCTGCGTTTGTTAATGTGGTACAGGTAGAAACGAATTGTTGTTTCGATGCGTTTGTAGGTGAACCTTCATGGGGTATCCGACCTAGTGTCCTTCTTAGAGTAAACAAGGATACGGCATAAAAGCAATCAACGACTTTTAATGATTGTGATATAAAATACATGTCCTTGACACAAACACGAAAGAAAAAATTCTAAGTAACAAAATTAATAACACTGTGGTATATTATGCCTTGATTTTTTTTTAACTAAGCGTATCAAATTATATCGTCGTAATTAACGGATCATAATTGCCTTATTATTTACTGTTCTTATAAAATGTACACATTGGTACATTCTCTAAGATCAGTAATAAACAATTACACTTAACACGATTCTACTTTCTTTATATATAACATAAACTTTAATTATTTTAAATGAGCCGTAATAGCTGAACTGTCCGGGAGCTCGCTTTTCATTGAATATATTCGAGTAGCTTGAGTACGAATCTCGGTGCGGCGCCGGTGAAATTGTTACATGCAATTTTTAGCGCTGATTTATCACTAGATCATTGCTGAAGGAACACATCCAAGGAACTTACTACCTACCTATTTATTTTCGTAATAATAATAAAAAATGTACTCCGAAGTGAAGTCTGCCAATCTAATACGGAAGGTTTACAAAGGAGGCGTTTACCCAGCAACGGAAGAGAAATAGGTAGTTACTCATAATAAATCCTACTGTATTACTAATTATATTTAATCTTGATTTTCAATACAGATAATCGTCTAAGTTTAGAAATGTAGATTTATTTTCTTAACCTAGCTAGGCTACGGATCCAACTATGCAGACTTATTAAAACTTTCCACTGGCTAATATTTAAATTTGATAATTGGAAGCTATTGTGCCTCCTTCCAATTTGCAATTTACCCGAACGCCGCTCATTAGACAAATTTATTCAACGCTGTTGCTTGTATAAAATATAGTCCGAGCCATGTTTATAGTTACGGCTAGACGTTTAATTTTGCCAACAAAGTGAATGCTACGAAATATACTGCCGGTTGCGAGTGTTGACGCGTCTTGTTTCTGCAGTCTTAATGTTATTTATCTTTTCCATTATTTCGTACTATAATTTTGGATGCCTTGTTCTATACAGCGTGTCGTTACCATCGCGACAATAAATGGACACACGTCTAACACTACAACAAAATCCATAATTAAAAAAAAAATATTTTTAAAACAAACTAATTAAGTAAAAAAGAAATAAAATTTGTAAAATCCTATACAACTCGCGCCACAGCGTCGCATTACAAGCCTCTCCTTCTAACAGTATGTTTTGTCTCTTTTAAATTCATTCAACCCATTCATATGCTTTGTGACCTTTACAAATGAACTTTAAGTTACAGTTTTATACGTAAGGGTGTTCTAAAATTGTTTGTTTTGGAAAATTTAATAACTCTGTAAATATTGATGTTTGAAGAATGTAAATGTT